GTCCTAGTACTGCACGTGAGGCTCCCACTGCCCTGCTGGACTTCAGGGCTCCATCTGTGGTTCAGCCTGACCAGAGAGTCCCAGTTAAGAGAGTTTCAGCCTGTATAATGGTTGCAACAAAATCTTGTACTTTCAGCAGCTCTGTGTTTCTTCTGTAATTCACATGCCTTTAATTCTACATTGCCAGTTTCAGAAGCAAATGCAGCAACATTTCTGTGGGTAAAGCATGCTTTTCATCTTTTCCTTTGCAGATCTATGAAGCAAGAGTTGCTGAACTAGCTGTGTCTTTGCATGGCCCAATCTTTGTTTTTATTGGCATGATAGTATTGCAGACTTTAGAAACTAGAAAGAGCAGATCAAGTGTTTTAATTTCTGTAATGTAAGTTGTCAGGGTTGTTCCTCACTCTGGCACGAGTGCAGAAAGTAAGGGCCTGCAAGAGAGCTTCGAAACCTTGCCTCTACAGGCACTGGTTACAAAAAACTTCCCCACAGAATCATAATAATATACAGATTTTGGGGAATCGCTGCCACCATCAAGTGCTTTTTTATCCCTAAAACACAAGGGTGAACACTTGAAATCACTCCCAGGGATACCCCAAGCTCTTTTGCTTCAAAAGAGCTTGAAAAAAGAAAAGAGAAAAACAAGCTGCAGTCTCTGGTAGCTGACCCCTCAGTCAGAGGCATGCAGATACACACAGACAGATCTTCTGAGACAAGAATCAAATCATCACCTTAAAAAAGTGATTGATTATTGCAAAACAAAAGCTGAACTTGATAAAGCATACTTGGTTGCTAGATGTTACAGAGCAACTAAAGAAAACAAATTAAAACACAGAGAAAAGTCTCTGGGCGCAATGTGAAGTAGTAAATGTGGAGACGGGGCATAGATTCACACAGAAGTTCAAGCCAAACTACAAGATAAAGAAAAAAATTCCCTGAACGCGACTGGATTCACTTCCCCCTCCCACACACACCTTTTTACTTCCTTCCAATCTCCTCTTTGTTCAGTCCACTCCCATGCTCTGAATTCCTTGGAGACATGGTAGTCCTGCCTGGGTTTAAATCATTTTGTGTCTCCCAACTCCTGGTTTTTCTCTCCCACATAATGAAAACAGGCAAGGAATCTATATCCAATTCAAATTTTGACCCTCTATCGCGATTGGTTCTCCCGGCCCCCTGGCCAACACCTTTGCTAGCTACATGACTTTAACTCTTTAGTCACTGGGTGCTGGTCCGGACTCCTCCAGTCCATTACTTAAGTATTAAATATTTATGCACAGAAATAGATTATGGGTGAGATCGCGGTGGCCCGTCCATATAGGTGAACTAGGCGGTTGCCTAGGGCGCCAAGTTAAATGGGGTGCCAAATGGTGATGCAATATCATTGAGGGGTTTGGAGGTGGGGGTGCTGATGGCATGGTTTGCCTAGGCGCCAGTTGCTGACAGCTAGTCTAGGGCCACCACTGGGTGAGATTAGATGTCTTGGCCGTACCCAAATGAGTAACCACAGATCTGGAGTGTTCATTTAACCCCAGGAATATCCTTGCTCAGTGTAGAAGAGCTGCAGGGGTGGCTGTGAACAAAAGCAGTGCACTGGATTGGTAAATCACAGGGCACTCTAGCCTCCAACAACAGGACCAGAGTGAGAGGCAAGTCACCACTCTAGCAGGGGAGGTACTCTGCATTTGTTTGGAGCCCTGTGTACCAGAAGGCCTCTCACCACAGGGATTATACATGTTACACAGAAATCATGGAAGAGTGCAATAACAACAACTTACTAAGATCTTAAAATTCAACTGTATAATATGCTGCTTGTTCCTTGGATGCTACTTGCACCATGCTTCAGCTACTTCTTTGGGCAGCTTGACTAGCCTGCTTCGCAGTCACCTTGGGTATTCTCTGAAAGTATTCAGAAAGCTCCTTGTTTAAAATCCCAGCTACAAAACACTGTCTTATGTGCGCTTCCTTACTGACACTGAAGTTGCAAGGACCTACATATGCAACCATAGCAAGTGATTTTACAAGCTTTGGGTGGTCATTTTGAGGTATCTTAAAGGATCCTCCTAATTTTCAGAAAACGCCAAACATCTATCCATTGAAAACCAGGGCCCTCAAAAGGTGTCTTTGGCATCCAAAAATCACTGGCATTTAACAAAGTTTAGGTCATAGTACTCTTTTTTCCCCTCTAGACGTCCTTATCAAGGCTTCAGTGTTTTCTCCAGGCCTCTGCACACTTTTTGGTAAAGCCCATTGATGTGTTACATTGCAGTTTAGAATAAAACTCTCAACAAATGTTTTAGGAATGTTGTTGTTACCTGGGGAACTGAGGTAAGCAATTATTGTGGGAGCTAAAGCTAATGGCAATGACTAAGCCCACGGCCTAAAGCCGGGTGTCCCCCTCCCAGAAGCCAGATTCGGCCTGGTGTTACGTATCTGATCACCGTTGGATTGGGTAACCACAAATCAGGCTAGACCAATGTTTAGGGCCAAACCATATATTTTGAACAGTAGAACATACACCAACAACAACAGTGTAAACCCACCCTATCCCAGAAGAAAAGAAGATAGATAAGTCCCGGATACAACAAAGGGGAATATACTTTACAAATCAGAGGCAGATGGCGATTGATGCCTGCGACCTTCTACCCTGTGGCTAGTGTAAAGCCTTAGGGGAGGACAGCAGGGAGTCCCTCGCTGACAGGGAAAGGTAGTCCTGTTGAACAGCCCTCCTGCAGGTGGATCTCTGCCTCCAGTGAGTCGGGTAGATTCCCTCTGGGATCGGCGCTTGGTAGCCCTTCGACTTCCAGTCCAATCCAGCGGGCAAGGATGATGGTAACTGAGTTCAAGTCCATGTGGCAGAAGCCAATAATCCTTGAGTGGGGCGTTCCCACACTCGCGAGGCTCTCTCTCCCACACTCGAACAAATCCTTATACCAGAACCCACAAACTAAAATGGATCACCACGGGAGACGAACAGACACTGACAGGACTTGGGACAGCAGACAGTGACTGACAGGCTACAATAAAGACGGACAATGGCGAACCCGAACCCTTCTTTGGTCAGGGCTTATAAGCCCTTCAAGGCGGGAAAAGGGTGGTAAGGGTGGTGTGCAGCAAATGGTGCCGTGTGCAGCACTCCAGTAGGGAGGGGTGCACAGTTTCTGAGCGGTGTGCAGCTCATTTTAGTGCCTAGTGCACAGTTTTGGGCTGAGTGCACACAATAGTGTGGGGTGCACCGAGCAGGTGACTGTGTGCACTTAGGTTTTGGCGGGAAAAGGGTAACACAGGGAGAGGAAGGGAAACAAGATGGAATCTAAAGAGGCTCCATTTTGAACACCATAGCTTTAAATGACTTTTCCCTGGCAACATTGTCATAGATATTCTTATCTCCTTCGGCAAAGGCAAATGATTCATAAACCTTTTCAGCCTCACTCCCCATTGCCTAAATTAACAAGCTGACCGGTACTTCACTGCTCTGTGATAAGCTTCACTGCGGTTCAAAATCAGGAGAAGCATTCCTTCCGTGTAGGTATTATCAAATTGCAAGGCTGGTGGAGCATTAAATTTGGGCAATTTCTTTTCCTCTCATTGATGCTGGCTCAACAAAAGTGAGTTACTGGCACATTTTCACTTGAGAGTAAAGAATCATAGAAAAAGCTACTTTCTGCTCACATCGGCAGCAGCATTACCAACTCTCCTGATTTGACCATGAGCCTGGAAAGATTTGAGTTGAGTTTTGACTTCTTCAAAAGCCTGGGATGATCTCACATTCCAGTATTCATAACCCGTAAATTTTTCCTAATTCAAAATGTAAATGCAAAATGCATCTCCTTCCACTTTCAATGGGGCTGAAGTATGGTAGCCAGGCATCTGGTTTAAACCCATTAAAATTTGGGGCTAAGAGAGACTCTCTACCTGGCCCTGTGTGGTTCCTACAAGTGGCTGGCATTTCTTTCCCACTCCTAGGTGAAGAGGTGGCCAGGGCGTGCTGCCCTCACCCCAGAACTCCCTCCGCAGCTGACATTGGCTGGACACTGCAGCTAATGGGAGCTGCAGGGTCAATGTCTGCGGACATGGACAGTATGCACTGTGCAGTGCTGCCTGGCTGTACATGCCAGCTGCTTCTGTGAACAGCATAAAGTGAGGGCAGGCAGATAGTCTGCGTTAGCCCCACTGTATTGCTGACCTGGTCTGAGTCAACCAGCCAGAGCCTGCAACCCAAACTCCCTGTCCCTGGTTGGAATCACCTCCCACACCCTAACTCCCTCCCAGACCTTGCACCCATATATACATCTCAACCCCCTGTTCCAGGTAAAAATCCCCTCCCACACCCAAACTCCATTCTGGAGCCCATCCCACATTCCACACTCCAAAACCCTAAGCCCCAGCTTGCCCCACCCCCACACACACACCATACCCCTCATCTGCATCCCCACTCAAGACCCCTTGTCCCCATTTGTACAGGAATTTAGGGTGCTCAATGCCTTTTTGGAGATGTGGAGGGAGGAGAGGAGGGAAAATGTGAAGGATAAGGTTTTGTAAAGGGAATGAGTCAGTCATGGGAATTAAGACCAGAAGAGACCAGCATATCATCCAGTCTAACATCCTGTATGTAAGAAGCCACTGACATGAATCAAATCCCACACCAAACCCAGCAACCAGAATTGGACCAAAATATTTCAGCCTGCAAGATATTCAACCATTGTGTGCTATGAGTGGGGAGAAGGGGTGGAGAAGAGAAGAGACTAAGATGTAACGATGGCTGAGGCTTCTGCAATGGCAGGTCAATGGTTAGGTAGGATAAGCCCAGATGATGCAAGCAAGTGACCCCATATCCCATGCTACAGAGAAAGGTGAAAAAATCCAGGAGGAAATTCCTTCCCAACTCCAAACATAGCAATCAGACCCTGAGCATGTGAGCAAGACATACCAGCCGAGCACCTCAGAGAGTGAATTCTTAGTATCCTCTCAGACCACGAAACCACCTTATCCAGTGACTCATCTCCATCCATGGCCACTTCTGACACTGCAAGGGAAGGAGATAAAATGCCACAAAATAAAAATATGAGGGGGAAAACATACCTCTTCCCATAGGGACAAGTAACAGATAAGGAGCAGGGGTAGAGTCTGTATAGGAACATGGAGTGGGAATGTGAATTGAAAGAAGATTGAATGTGCTAGGGAGGAAGATGAGATGGGGAAGGAAACAGGATAGTGACAAGTGAGGGGAATGGCAAGGGATAAAATGGCAACTCCTCCACTCCAAAGGTTAGGAAAAGTCAAAGGCGTCTTCCCCACTGGATGCTCAGAAGGATTCCAAATTTTTGCATAGGTGTTTTAACTGAAAATGTTGACCCTGAAATACTTATGTACTCTTTGGGGGCAGAAAGTCCGCTCCTAATGGCTCAAGAAAAACAGCAGATAACTAAAAACACCCCTCCCCCCCAATACATTATTTTTAAAATTCTCTGATCAAGATAATCTCACTATTCTGGCAACCAAATTGATAATTTTTTAATGGCTGGTGTTAGCAGAACCTTTATTGAACAAGGGACTTAAATCTGACAGAGAGCATTAGCTCTAAAGCTTCTCTCTCTCTCTCTCTCTCTCTCTCTCTCTCTCTCTCTCTGTGTATGGTGTGTGTGTGTGTGTGTGCGCGCGCTAGAGCTTTTGCCAAGAATCTTTCCCAGTTCCTCTGATCTCTCTTCACGTTTTTATAAGAAAAAAAAAAACCACCTCTCACATGGGGGTAACCTGTACATGTGCTAGGACAGGAGGGGTAAAATGAACAACCGGTGCTGCCCGGGCAGGACTCATGGAATTCTGCAGCCTAGAATCACTGTCACAAGAGCTATGTGTATGGAATCCTCCTGGAATTCAATGGGAATTCTAAATGCAGCGCACATGAGAGAT